AAAGAGAGGTTACTTACCTGTAACCATGGTTCTTCAAGTGGTCATTCTGTGAATTCACACACAAAAGGGTTAACCAAGCACCAGCGTTGGTCCTCTCGGAACATTCTCGAGCTGTAAGAGAAATGTAACAATTGTAGGCTGCCTATATTGCGCATGCTCCGCCCACCCGCGCCTTAGTTCCATTTATCCGCCACTGGTACCTGAGCATGAGGTAACCATCAACAGTGACAGATAGAGGGGAGGCCGGGTGGGAGTGTGTGAATTCACAGAATGACCACTTGAAGAACCATGGTTACAGGTAAGTAACCTCTCTTTTTCTTTTACAGGATTTTTCCTTTTGTGCAGTATTTTTTTCATTTACAGGATTATTAAGGATTATGGACTTTTTCTTACATAATTGGATTATTTTGTTTTCCTGATGGATTTCCTTATTGAAACTGTTTTTATTATTTTTATTGGCTTTTGGAATTCTTGCAAGGTTTTTGGACACTTGCATATTTTTCTTGTTTTCTTTGCCACACTACAGCTTTGTAATTAACCAGCATAATGCTTATTTGCTTGCTTTTGCATAATTTGACTTTTCCTTTATGGAACTTACTATTTCTTTAATAAAATAATGATTATAAAAATCAATTGTTTTCCTGAACAGTAAACTTGTCCTAGGTCATCTGATGGTGCTTGCCTCGGCCTTGCATACTTAAGGAGTCCTGACTGTGGTGCTTAAGAAGTCTAAGGACTACAAAGCCCACATGGTTTTCTATCAGTAATATTCAAAGGTACAAGGGTGTTCTTATTAGGGCAGACTTGTGAAAGGGAGCATTGACACGCCTAGCTGAGTTCTGGGACTCACTCAGCACATTTTAGGGTGTACAATCTCCTGATTACTCTCTATCCGAGCATTCACGCGTTCTCTAGGGAACCGTGTTTGTCACATGGCACCTGATTAAAGGAAGAGTGGTTGGCTGTTGATAAAGCAGTGCAGAATATTCCGCATTCAATCTCCAAGTTGGGCTGGGAATAGGAAATAAAAAAAAAATCACACCTGACACCTCAAAGACATGCCTGTACTCAATCTATAGTGATATACTGGATGGCCTTGGTGTATTTTTGACACTTTCTTCTTACAGAGAATCAGAAACAAACATTAGATAGAAGCATTATGCTAGTTAGCACAAATTGTGCTCTCTTTAATGTAGGCATTTGGATCAAGCATTAGCAATTAGTTCAGATATGCAATGTGGTTTGATTGGAGTTGCAAATTCAACCTCTATCTGCCTAAAATTTTATGGCAGCAGGCATGCGAGGCTGAGAATATCATTCTAAAGCAGTGGTTCTCAACATTTCATATTTCATCTCACCCATCACTCTTTCAAAGTTCCCGAGTCCCACCTTGAAATCTGACTTTTTTCATGAAGGACATTTATGTTTGCACGTACTGCGTTCACTGATTATTTGCAGTAATTTGGAGAACAAAAGAAACCGTGGATTAGGAGAAATAATTACTTTCATGCCAAAAGGTATGAAATATGTGAATATTTGGAGGCAAGGAAATGTCCTCCGATATTTTACCAGTCAGAACAGGGACTGTGTTTTTTTAGAGCAGTGACTGAGTTATGAATGAGAATGCACATGCAAAGCTGCAGAATTTTAAACACAGAAATCTCTGAATTTGTGCATCGCATTTATGAAAGCTTGGGGAAAGGGCAAATGTTAAAAACTGACACGAGTGTATGTCAGTTCAGATACACATCCCACCAGCTCCTGTTTGCCCCATTCAGGGAAACAGGACGGATGTGTTGTATTTCACTAAAAATAACTATTTTATTAAAAAATAACTGATCACTGTGATTGAACAATGTCAAAATGGAAGGAAAACATTTACTGCATCTACAGTGGTGCCTTGCTTAGCGATTGCTTCATTTAACAATGTATTCGCTTAGCGATGGGTTTTTTGAGGAATTTTCCGCATCGTTTAACAATGTTCTCTATGGGCGATTTTCACTTAACGATGTCCGTTTTCGCTCATATAAAAATGTCTTAACATGTTTGAAACCTGTTTTAAATGCTTGGAATCGTTAGTGCACCTTGTAAAACATTTGCAAACTTAATTTGGCTTTGTTCTGAGTCTTCGTTAATTTTTGGTGAATTTCCCCCCCCCATTGGAATGCATTGAACTCTCCGTTCAAAATTCACCAAAATATGAATGATTTCAC